GAGAGGCGTTTAAGAGTTTTCAAGAATCCACCATGACCACCACAAGGGGTGTTGTGAGCCTCTTCGAGTAGCTTAGCACGCAAGGATGAACTCTCAGGAATTACCAAGCGCCCATTGAAATACAGTCGTTGTTCCACTAGAGTATAGCCCGGCCTGGACGTTGTGTTCTCCTTTAAATTTTGAATGATTGTTGCTGTGAAGGGATCTGCCAATAGTGCTTCTTCCAATCCGAGAAAGTCAATAGGCAAAGGTATTACCAAATGGAGAAAATCTGCATGTTGGGGCCGACGAGAAAGTGCGTCTGCACCAATATTTTCTTTTCCAGCCTTGTAGACGATAGAAAAGTTGAATGGTAGTAACTTAAGAATGAGACGCTGTTGTGTATTAGTGAGCACCCGTTGCTCCAAAAGATGTTTGAGGCTGTGATGATCGGTCCTTACTGTAAAACGACGCCCTAACAGGTAATGGCGCCATTTTTGTAGTGATAACACAAGTGCTAGCAGCTCCCGATCATAGGCAGATTTGTATCTATTTGAGAAAGAGAACCCTTTACTGTAGAATGCAATTGGGTGATCCTGTTGTAACAAAATAGCACCGATTCCTTCCATTGAGGCATCACATTCCACAACAAATTCAGAATCAAAGTCGGGGAGCCTCAGAACTGGTGCTGAAACTAGCGCGTGTTTAAGCTTCTCAAAAGCATTCTGTGCTGTTACAGACCAACAAAATGCATCCTTCTTGGTAAGGTCAGTAAGGGGACGAGCAATCATAGCATAGTTTTTAACGAACCTCCTGTAGTAGCCCGTAAGCCCCAAAAACCTCAAAGTTCAGTGACATTACAAGGTATCGGCCATCCTTGTACTGCACTAATTTTCTCATGGTCAGTGTCCACTCCTTGGGCAGAAACTTGGTGGCCCAAGAAGGACACCTGAGTCTGCCCCAACTCACACTTCTTGGGATTGGCAAAGTAAGCATGCTCCTTCAAAGTTTGAAAGATGGTTCGAAGGTGTTGTTCATGCTGCCGCGGTGATGAGCTATATACTAAAATATCATCAAAGAAAACCAGTACAAATTTCCGGAGGTAGGGTCTGAACAAGTCATTCATGGCGGCTTGAAAAGTTGCTGGGGCATTTGTAAGGCCAAATGGCATCACCACAAATTCATAGTGCCCGTTGTGAGTTCTAAAAGCTGTTTTTGGAATGTCAGCATCGAGAACACGAATTTGATGGTAACCTGATCGTAAGTCGATCTTAGAAAAGTAGGCAGCACCATATAACTCATCAAGTAACTCGTCAATGTTTGGAATAGGGTACTTATCAGGTATTGTGATCTTGTTGAGGGC